TGGGTTGGCCCATCAGAGTTGCCTTCTGTATTAGTTATCTATTGCTATAGAACAAATAACCCCCAAACTTAGTGGCTTAAAACAATGACCATTTATTATCCTTCATGGCTTCCCTGGCTGGGTCCAGAATTTTTAAGCAGCATGCCTGGGTATTTCTGGGTTAAGATCTCTCATGAAGTTGCCCTCAGATGTTGGCTGGAGTGGGGTCATCTTAAAAGTTCCTTCACTCATGTGTGTTATCTGGGCTGAAAAGCCTGAAAAAGTTGGAACAGCTGAAGCTCCTCATGCCTCTGTCTTTGTCTCTGTGTAGTTTCTCCTCTTGATATCTCCAGCATGGAGGCTTCAAAGTAGGCAGCTTTCTTACACTGTTACCTGTAGGCTCAAATCTCCCAAGCCATATATCTTGAGTGACAGAGAGCCAGGTGGAAGCCAAATCACCTTTCATGATCTAGCCTGGAAGTCACAGAACACCATTTCTCCCACTCTATTGGCTGAGGCAGATACAAAACTCCATTTGATTTCAGGAGAGAAAACATCAAGCTCACCTTCCAATGGAGAAATGGCATCACTGTATTATAAGAAGAGTGTGATGGGATACATAGTGCAGCTATCTTTGGAAAATATACTTCTTGTAGTATTGAGGCTGGGGGATGAACCTTTATTTCCTGGCATTGATGTGCTATCACATGTTTTATGAGGTTCTTGGATGAACTGACTCTTTAGTTGAGTCAGTTTCTAGAATAGGACTCAGCTAAGTGTTCTCAGTCGACAACATTCTCAAAAGCTGGAGGAATGAATGTTTCAGTCCTAAAGGGGAGGACCCAGGTGGCATACAATAACATCCATCACAGTGTTAGGAACATTCTTGTACTAGTCTCTTTTTGGATGTATATTTCCATTTATTTTGCATATCTATCTAGAAAGGGAGTTTCTGTGTCATAGGTAGGTGTATCTTTAGCTTTGTAAGAGTTTGCCACACAGCCTTCCAAAATGTTTGTACCATTTGAAATTCCCAGCAGGAATTTGCTAGAGTTCCAGTTGTTCCACATACTCAGCAACATTTGGCATCATCAGTTTTGTAATTGTAGCCATTCTAGTGGGGTGTGAAATGATATTTCATTGTGGTTTTAATAAGCATTTCTCCAACGACTAAGATGGTGAGTATTTTCATGTGCTTAGTGCCCATACTTTCTCTCATGAGGTGTCTATTTAAATCTTTTACCCATTTTAAAAAGTGTGCTGTTTGTATTCTTACAAGTAATGTGTATTTTTTACAATTTACAAATTACAATTCTAATTTACAATTAGGTTTACAATTCTAATTTATACTTATGGATAAATTTCCTTTGACATATATATATATATATATATATATATATATA